CTCCTCCGCCAGCCGCCGCCTCCGCGTCCTGGAGGCCGAGACACAGGTGCTGGGACTGTGTAGGGTCAGGGACAAGCTCCCTGTCCCGCTCCTTCTCGTCCAGGGGCTGCCCCCGGCCCGGCCCTGCCCAGTCCCGGGCATGGGACCTGATGGGGCATGAACTCTCTTCCAGATCCTGACAGACTGGCAGGATAAGAAAGGCGACCGGCGGTTCCTGAAGCTGAGCAAGGACCACGATGTGGGCACATCTGTCAAACATGGGAAGCCCAAGAAGCAGAAGCTGGAGGGCAAAGGGGGCCATGGGACTGGGCCTGGCCCTGGCCGGCCCAAGTCCAAGAACTTGCAGCCCAAGATCCAGGAGTATGAGTTCCAGGATGATCCCATTGAAGTGCCCCGCATTCCCAAAAATGATGCTCCAAACAGGTGTGTGGCTGTTGGGGGGCATTGGGATTATCTATCTCCTTCTTTGGAGCATCCAGCACAAGAGCCGAGGGATAAGGTACCCCGGGGAAGGGGGACGTGTGTCAGCTCCCACGTGCTCCCCTGAAGCTCTCCCTCACAGTGCATCCGTCCCTGCAGGTTCTGGGCATCAGTGGAGCCGTACTGTGCCGATCTCACTAATGAGGAGGTCAGAGTCCTGGAGGAGCTGCTCAAGCCGCCAGAGGATGAGGCTGAGCATTACAAGGTGAAAAGCTCCCGAGCCCATCCTGTGTCGTCTCTCCCCATCCTCTCCAGTATCTCACAGCAAATGTTCCCGCTTGGGATGCTGCCGTAGTTCTGGGGAGGTGGGAGGCAAGGCGGAGGCTCCAGGAGCTGTGCTGAGCCCTGCTCTCGCAGATCCCGCCACTGGGGAAGCATTATTCCCAGCGCTGGGCACAGGAGGACCTGCTGGAGGAGCAGAAGGATGGAGCCCGGGCAGCAGCTGCTGCTGACAAGAAGAAAGGTGTCCTGGGGCCACTGACTGAGCTGGACACCAAAGGTGCCCCCATCCCGCCCCTGCCTTTCCCTAGAGGGGCTGGGAGCACTCATGCCCAGTGGAGCCAAGCCCCAGCCCCAGGGGCTGAGGCTGCCCTGCCCCACTGCTCACCTCTGTTGGGTCACCTTTGGGGTTGTTTATTTCCCTCTCCTGCTTCCTCCCAGATGTCGATGCCCTGCTGAAGAAGTCGGAGGCCCAGCATGAGCAGCCAGAGGATGGGTGTCCCTTCGGTCCCCTGACGCAGCGTCTCCTGCAGGCCCTTGTGGAGGTGAGGGGGCTCTGTGGGGCCATGCCCTGGCCTGACCCCATGGGGGGCAGCACCACCACAACCCAGCACTAACTCTTACCTTTCCCTCATGCTCCCTTTGCTAGGAAAACATCATCTCCCCCGTGGAGGACTCCCCCATCCCTGAGATTGCCGGCAAGGACTCAGGAGCTGATGGTGCCGGCACGTCTCCCCGTAGCCAGAACAAGCCCTTCAGGTGAGTGGCTGAGGCAGGCCCGGAGCTGGGCACTGCCCATGGGTGCACTGAGCACAGCGCTGGCTCCCTGCCCAGTGAGGGAGCAAAGGGCGTGTGGTGGGCAGCAGCTGCTCTCCGCCCTGGCAGCGTCCCCCACACCAAGTCCCTGGAGGGTCGGATCAAGGAGGAGCTGGTGGCCCAGGGCCTGCTGGAGTC